AAAAAAAGAAATAAAGAAGAAGAAGAAGAAGAAGAAGAAGAAGAAGAAGAAGAAGAAGAAGAAGAAGAAGTTCTATTAGTAAATTCTGTTACTTTAGAAAAAAGAAATCAAAATTCTTGGCGAAGGACCGTCAAGAAGATTAGTTTTGGTAGTTGCGTTAACAACATTCCGAGGTTTAATGATGTCGTCTGTTTCTTTGGTTGCAACCAACCGACATTTCTTTCACTCTCAATGGCGCACTCGATTACACTTTGCTTGATCCTGCCCTTCTTTTGCAGCATTCTTTCTTTCCATTTTTTTCTTCTCTCTCGATTTCATCTTCCGTCAAGTTTCTTACACTTTTCTATCTCCACTTCACATTACTCTTTTTTGAAATTATTTCCCTTACCTCCTATCTCCTCCACGCCATTTTGTTGTTTTCATTCTCTTTCAACAAAGATTCTATTCGAGCCAAATTCTCTCTCTCGTCAATGAATTCATCTTATCATATTTTCTCCTGCATTATTATTTTTTATTTCTAATTTTCTTCGTCTGGTTCTTATTCATAGTTTGTTATTCTTTATTCTCCTAATGTAATGCATCGTGTTACACTATTTTCAGCGTACAAGACGCATATTTTTACTAAGAAAAAGGGGGTTGCGGGGTTCATAATCGTATTTGATAAGGCGCTCTATTTATTAAAATGTATGTATATTTATTTTCATTTACCGGCCTGAATATTCCAGAAATCTTATTAGAGAAAAATTTGCGCCCTTCCGCAGGAATGGAACGTATGTCAATCAGTGAAGAGGAGGTTATCGTTTAGTCCGGCACGTCTTACTGCTAATGGTGGCTCTTGACGTTGAAAGTGATCCAAATCTGACAGGTTAATAAAAATCCATTCTAAAATAATCGTTTGGTTTGCGTTTAGATACGAAACTATTTGCCTACAGAAGATTATAAACACCAGGGACAAGATATATTGAATATATGGATTGCGTCTTATAAAGTAAAAAATAAGGGGTGTTTCATTAAAACGGATCAAAGTCAACAATAAATAAAACAGTGTTAATGGTGAAAATTTATTTATTTCTCTATTTGATCATATTATTTAAGTCATGGCAATTATGTGTGAAAAATAATATTACCCAAGGCTTTGGCGACACATCTCCACTCGATGGTCAAAATTTTTGATGACGTTTCTGCATAGTTGCTTCTCGATCTCACCAATATACCTTAATATCTCATCTTTCATCTGTTGAATTGTTGTTGGCTTATTGACATAGACCTTACTTTTGAGATGACCCCAAAGGATGAAATGTAAAGGCGTCAAGTCGCACGTCGTGGTGGCCAATTGTCTTCGCTGTTTCGAGATATGATGCAACCTGGGAACTTCTCATTGCATTTCTCTTTGAACGTCCATTTTCGTAATAGGCTTCGATAGGTTTCCGTGATTGAAATTGCCAAAGATTTAAGTTGTTAAATGTGAAAGAAAAAGAAAAAAAATCATTAGACGCTTAAACTTAATTCAGATTTAAAATCGGTCCAAGTTATTGGAACACTTTTTATTTTCCATTTGGCTTCATTTTTCGTCTTTCTCCTTTTATTGCGTTCTTTCTATCTTTTCAAATTTCTTCCTTGTTTTCCAAGTATGCATTTTTAGCATATTTCTGTAATAATTACGTTCAACTTTTGTCTACCAATCTATGATTGGTATTTGAATAACAAAATGGAAACATGTGACACATTTCGACCACCGAAAAGACTTCTACAAACTAAATAATCTTTTTCCTAATATCAGTATACATATTTCTGCAAGTGAGTTATTAAAAACAACGGTAGAAAACCGGAATTCGTTTAACAACAACTTTATTGCCTTTTGCTACATGGAAACATAATGTAGAATAGAAACTAGGGAAGAGAATGATTAGCCGTGAATGACTGTTTTCAGCAAAGGCTACTGCTCCTCCTGCTACTTCTTAGAGTATTTTTATGTCTTTCGTCCGATAGCCAAGTCCAAACTTGCAGGGAAATATTCTCCCTTACAACACATATGTAGAGGAAGTGAACAAAAGAGAAACGCTGAAAATGTAGGGACGCTTTAATTTCAATTTATATTTTAAATTTCTGCTGCACGATGTCCCTAGAAGCATAATCTAGCCAATATCATTCGGCTTTTGATTTTACTTCTACCGTTCTTGTTTACAAATATCTCACCTTCTAGTAGCAATAGGTTTGTTACGAAGTGCTATATGCTATATGATCCTGCGTGTAAATATACTGTGGACACTGGTGCAGCTAGAGTGTGTGCTGCCCGAGGGAAACGATGAGTTTTATGCTCCTCCCCTACCCCCAACCCACCCACAAAAATGCAACATACTGCACAGTGATTCACTCATATATATATATATATATATATATATATATATATATATATAAATTCTGCAAAGTAACTTTTTGGCATTTTCCATTTCTTGCTTTTTTTCCATTCTTATACAGCAGACCCAAAGTGCTGCCCCCATAAAACTGTCGCACCAGGCCCTTGCCCCCACCCTCTAGCTACGATACTGAGCAAAGGTGACAATGAATGGAAAACATAAAAATCAGTGCATTTTCCATACATTTTCACCTTTATAAAATTATTTCCTCTTTTAATTAAAATGGCATTCTTTACGATGAAATTATGTTCAGATTTGATATAATGAAGGGCTAAATGCACTGAATATATCTGTTTTTTTTTTCCTGTTCTTTTCTGTCTACCTAACTAGCTATGTTCAATATATATGATTAACGTGTATTTAGGCAGCAGGATTTTGTCTATCCACTTTGTTAAGTTTTTCTTGAATTAAACAACAAAAAATACTAAGATCATCGTTCGAGCCCTCGTTTCTTACTGTTTCTTTGTGAGCATGTATTTGAGAATGAGAATAGATGCAAAGGTGGGGGCTTTCAATCTCCGGTCGCTGGAAAGCTGTGAGCGGTTGTTCCCATAGTATGTTTAAAGCTGAGAAAGTTTCGTAATTCATAGCACTGCCAGTGGTCGGTGTTCGAGCCCGGATTAAAAATCCAAATTTCGAATGCTGGCTTTCAGAGCAGATGAACAGCATGCACTTCTTCATTTGAAAGATTGCTGCAAGCCAGTCTTCTTCATACAATTATGTTTCGCCTACGTCTAAAAAATAAATATTTCTTTTCAGACCTTGGCACTTATATTCGGTGTTCCATTGCTTTCAAGTTCCATGGGCGAATCGGACTACCTTCTTTGAAACACATGGAACGGCGTCATCCAATTGGTAAGTCACGTGATCTTCCATTTTATTCTCACGAATGCTTTCAATATTTTTGTAATTGTCAGTATTTTGCCGTGTATACTCGTGTATAAGTCTATATATATGAAAGTCATTAATTTTAAAGGAAAATTGGCAGTTGACATTTGCATGGATAATAGTTTCATTCGGATGAGATCCGTGCATGATGTTCATTTTTCCTTCTCTTCCTCTTCTTATATATATACCATTTCCCTTCAGGACATGAACGATAATGGCTCTCCACAACTTCCTATCCTTTGTAATTCTTAGCAATGCTTGCCTTTTTTTAGCATCGCTTCCACTCCCTGTTTAGCTATTTATATGCACAGTCTCGTTAGGTGGTTTTCTGTCTGTCCCTCTTGCCTACAATGTTCTCTGAGATTCTCCAAAGCCTTTTTTTTCTCACTATCTGTCCCAGAAATGTCAAATGTCTCTTTCTGATTGTAAGTGTTCCCATTTTCCATAAAACTTCATCGGTGCTCACATGCTCTTTCCAGGTTATTCTCAACCTCTTTCTGTAGAATCACATCTTTGTTGCCTCAAGTGTCCACAGGTTTGATATGCATTCTTTGCGTTGTTTGAAACGAAAATTTACCTGTTTTCTAAATACCGTATATTCTCGCTTATCATGCAACTTTTGAAGAACTAATTTTTGAGCTGATTTTAAAGGGGTCGTATCATACACGAGATATAAAATTAGCGTATGTACTTCTGGCCTTGATTACGCCGTTGACCAAACTATATATTCATTTACTGTAGCCAAAAAGTACAACTGTATTTAAAATAAACATGATTTTGTTAAAACCGATGTCTCACTTAACTGTATCCAATAATAATGCATATAATAGAAATATATTAGTATCGTATTATAAAATACAAACATAGTAAATACGCATCTTTTTCATTGTTTACGTTTAGCTGTTTTTCGTTCGGTTGTTTATGTCTCTACGAGTTTATGCAACGAGTATAGCGTTACTAACGATACTTTTATCATTCTTTTTACTTTTTTAACTTCTTTAACTAAAAGATGGGATAAAGAGATAGAGAAAAAGAGGTTAGTCTATTGTAATTTGGTCTCTCCAAAAAAGGAACTCGTATGATACACGAGATTTTTTATTTTTTATAAGTGAAAATTTTGGGGTCGCATAATACGCGAGATCGCGCGTTACACGAGTATATAGTGATTTTCCAAGCGTAGCTTAAATATGACACAAGGCCGAAAGCATGAGGTACTCAGTGAGGATCGAACTAATTACTTAGTCAAAATTGTTCTAGCGAGACAAGCTTTATAAACATTATACCGCTACGAAGTGCCCGCCTTACACAAATATATACGGTACTTTGTTTAGCTTTTGGAACAAGCTGTATCGGAGAAAATTTAATGGAAGTCAACAACTAAGATTATCGATTATTCATACTTTTGCCTTTGTCTTACACTTTGTTTGTTTCTTTTGACTCTCTTCTTTAACCCTTGACTAACCGTTGCTCAAGCGAGTTTTTTTTTTATCTTCATTTTATACGACCAATGTTTCGTTTCAAATACGAAAACGGAATAAGGAATACAAAATTATTTTCTATCGCATCCTCTCTTTCATATTTCTCTTGATCTATCCCTTCATAGAGAATTTCACTTTATCGATTTTATGCTTTTTGCATCGCAATGTACTTTTCAGTCGTTCGCTTATTATCTCGATATCCAGGCTGTAAGAAGGCTTACGACCATATCACGTTGAAATCCCGATTTTCGTACGATCACCGAAGTTAAGCAACGTCGAGCCTCGTTAGTACCGAGGTCGTTGACCGCTTGGGTATACCAGCTGCTGAAAGTTTGGTGTGTGTAAGTGGTGTAATGAATAATAGCTCAGGATTGTTAATCGGAGAGTCGAGTTTTAATTTCAGGTGGATTCATGATATTAAAAATATCCTTACAATCTAAAAATATTTTTTTGACTTTAAATCACCCGAAAAGGATTAATAAACCGTGAATAACAACTGAAAATCAATCAACCAGACAGTAAGATTGCCATTCTCTCCCTCCCGATTCTCTTTATATATATATATATATATATATATATTCAAACATATTTCATTGAATAATATACGCATATTTTTTCTACATATTTTTATACTGATCCTTTCCAGTTATCTAATCAGTTTCTTGATGTTGAGATTAAATGCATCATCCTTCTCATTATTCTTACTTCCCTCTTTACACCGTCCAATTCTCTATTCCTTGGTCAGTCAGTTATGCGCCAGTCGTGATACACGCTTATCTTTTCGATACATGACTGATGAGGCAGTTTTTTTTCCCGCTGTAATTTGCCATTTCTTTCTGCTGTAGACCAATTGCCATCCAGGGCTATAGAACCCGGTTTGTCCTGCTGTATTTACCCATAGAAGATGAGGATTCATACATTTCCCCAATGGTATTAGCACGTAAATAAATGTAATGGATTTGACTGGATTTCGAACACTGCTCTCCGATTCCTCAATTCGCTTGGGAATACCAGCTGCTGAAAGCTTGGTGTATGTAAGTGGTATAATGGATTGTTAATCGGGAAGACAAGTTCTAATTTCGCCTTCCATTATTCCACCGGTCATTTCGACTCAAAGGCGCCGAGGATTGAACAGATACTATCATACTCTTGGCAGTCAAGTGTATCGTACAAAAAAAAAACAAACATGCAGAATAACAATACAGGCGCTAAATGAATCAAAGAAAAACGTGAATGACAATATTGTCTGTCGTTGCTGAAACCTGATATCATTCACTATTTCAGTATAAACTTCTATAACGGTAACTTTTTTCGCTTTTTGTGCCCCCTCCCTGACTCATATTGCAGCCTCAATTCACAAACTGTTACTACTAAAAAATTTCAGAGACTTACCTTAAAATACTGAACACTTTAAAAATGGGTTCGCTTATAAATCGTAAAGTATATTACGAAGATGTAAATTTAATGAAGACCAGACCATGATAAATGAAAATGAAGACAACTGATATTGACATCTAGATGAGGGAAGCTCTTAGGATAATGCTCCCAATTATTGCCATTGAAATTATAACAGATACCAGGAGCCAATTAACATTATTCAATAGAACAGGGCTTGGACTGCAAAACGCTGTTATTCTTCAAAGTCACTCCTATAAGCTGATGAATTTTTGAGGCGGCATACATTACGTAGATAGACTCGTCTGGTAGTGGCCTGTCACATACATTACTGTTGCCACGGATTAAATAAAATATTTATTGCCTATTGACTGTGCTCACATCCATTGTTTAATCTCCATAAAGACAATACTTTGCTGGCTACATCCCAGTATATACTGACAATATCCAGTTCTTCATAATGACTGAGACTAAATTACTTGGATAAAACCAGAATAAAACATGAAGTTTAAGAAGTTTACCCACAGTTTTAAATACAATCTTGTACGATAATTGGTAAAATACAGTGAAAAAATAAAACAGACAGATTTTATAGGCTGAATTTAACAAATTTGTATGAATTCTCTCTCTCTCTCTCTCTCTCTCTATATATATATATATATATATATATATATATATATATATATATATATATATAAGACAAAACATTTTTATTTATTAATCCGACTGATTTTTATCATTTTAAAGGTTATTTATAGTGGGTGCCTATATTTATAAAATATAAATATATCATCAATAAGTCCACTGCTTCAAATAAACGAACTCAAATATGGGCATACACTAAAAATAACATTTGAATTGATATATATATATATATATATATATATATATATATATATATATTAATAATAATAATAATAATAATTATATGAAAAGATTACTTAACTTTTAAATACCAATTTTATCCTGACTTCGAAGATTCTTGGTAAAATTTACAGTCTTCAGTGGGTTCTGGTTTTAAACGATATTTCCGAATTTTTTCAATTCGTTGACCAATTTGCTTTTTTACTCCGTTTTTTACGCTCTCATTCTTGAATTTTGCTTTTGTTTATGTCTTTTATTTTTTCACCTGTAGATTGGACATTTATTCTTGGAAATTAAATTTTTTCTTTGAAATTAATTAAATTTTTTTATGGTTTATATAGAATTTGTTATGTTCTTATGTTATTAATTAAATTGTAATATTTTTTAATTTGTATTATTAATTAAATTATATTTTATGTTGTATTTGTATTATTAATTAATATTTTTAATTAATATTTTAATTGATTTATTATGTTATATTACTATTAAAGTAACAAAGTAAATATTTGTTAATATGTCAGCATGGATCCATTATCTTATTCTTCTGATTTATAATTTAATTTGATTATTGAAAGTTAATATTGATAATTTTTCTTCTAAACACAGTTTACAGTTGTTATTCGTAATATTATATTGGAGTACTTTTTTCATTTTTTAAAATTTTCCATTTAACTATAATAGTTTTTTTTTTTTTTGACACTTTATGTATTTTGATAATGTGCTATTTGCGTATTTATCTATTTTAAATGACATCATATGATTCTTTTTTTTTTAAAGTGGGTTCGATTGCTCCTATTTAAATCTTTTCTTCTGTGTTGCTATTATTTGATACAATTGCTTTATATATTATATTAATAGTTAAACATTTATTATTAAGTTAAACTATTGATACATATATTCAAAAAATAAATCAAAACATGAAATAAAATAAATAAATATATATATAAGTCAAATAAATTAATCCAAACCAATACATAAGTAAATAACAAATTAACAAATCACGAACGAACACATAAACTCAAGTGTAATAATAAGAATTATCAAGTTAACAAAAATGCATCCGGTTCTATAATTATTTCCACTCGACAGTCCATAGAATAATTCGAAACAAAACCGTCACCGCCCACCAATATAACCATTAGAACAATGCAATAGACTACCCACAATGCATCACGGAGCTGTATATGTAAATAGTCGAGCAAAAACACAACGCACATAGCCTGACGATTGCATTTATGCATGAAACAGACTGTCGACTCTGAGTGTTGACTTTAATGACTTTTACACAGACACACACTGAGACACACACACACACACACACACACACACATATATATATATATATATATATATATATATATATATATATATATATATATATATATATATCCTTATCCCATGAAACAAAATGGCTATATTTGTAGTGATTTTATAATATATTTATGTTATAATTTTCGAATAAATATATATATATATATATATATATATATATATATATATATATGGGATATAACGATATATAATTTTTTTTATAGATCAAGACTAGATTTGGAGGAAAGATGTATGACAAAGTGGGAAAAAGGTTTTGAGTGACGAATTTCGTCACTTAGAACTTCATCGGACTAGATTTATTGACGCTGATGCGACTACACATGAACACGACTGCTAGAAATTTTAAATTTTGAAAATATTTTTGATTTTTTTTTTAAATAATGTAATAAAAGAGTATATGAATAAAAAAGAGACATTTAAAAAAAAAACAACACATTAAAAGTCTTAGTTGCACATCGTAACGAGTCTGACCACAATTTTGATATAAAAAATGCTACTCTAATTAAAAAAAGGAAGACGAAAATATCAAGAAAGTGCTTTAATCGCTCGTTCATCCACAGTAAATTTACCTCCAGGTTCTTACAACGTTTCACCATTCTTCGTAGATTTTCTGTTATCCCAAGATGGGATATATGATAACAAAAAGAAAAAGAAATGAAGTTGGTTAGATTATATATCCAAAACATATTATTAAAGAACCAAAACGCAAAACACATTGTTAAAAAAAAAGAAATTTTACAAAAATATCTTCAAACTTTAAAATTCTCAGCGTCTCTCGTAAACAAACTTAATCCAGTCCTAAAGTACAAAACGCGTAACACGAATATCTATTCCACTTTGTCATATATAAATATTTAAACAAATGTTTGACATCACAAAAAACAAAACCGCAAATATTTTGTCATCAATTTTGTGGTTGTTTCACATTTCGGTTATAATTACAAATGTTTTGAACAAGAACTAGTTTAAAAATATTTTATACATTGATTTTGAGATCTGTTGCATTCCTTGATGTGAAATTGCATAGCATCCAGAACAGTTCATTTCGATCGAATATGCCGGTCACTTTATTAAATGAGTCTTCGAATCGAATTTTATTAACATATTTATTTTGGTCGCCTAAAATAATGGAGTATTCTCGTCAATAAAAAAATAATCTTTCTGAAAACGTTTGAATTCTTCTTGAATCATAGCTTTATGTTTGCTTTCATAAATCGATGCATTATCTGAGCTGTTATTTTAAACTCTCTGGACTTCGCTATCTGAATCTATCACCAGATTATATGTCAACACTCCTTAGATATATATTAAAAATAAAAAAAAAGTAAAAAATGCAGGTCAAAATTATAAATAATCTAAGAAAAAAATAATTCACCGTGTCAAAAATATATAGAAAGTGCTTTAATTGCCAGATAATCAACAGTAAGTTTGCGTCCAGGTTCTTACAAAGTTTCTCCATTATCGGCAGATCTTCTGTCATCGTAATATGGAATATTTAATAACAAAAAGATGATGGAAACAAAGAGTAAAAGAAAAAGAATCTAAATGAAAATGGTTAGATTATACAGCCAAAACATATCTCTCTTTCTCACACCACACACACACACACACACACACACACACACACACACACACACATATATATATATATATATATATATATATATATATATATATATATATATGTGTGTGTGTGTATGTGAGAGAGAGAGAGTATGTCCAGAAAAATCGTGTACAGA